AATGGAACACCCATCCGGTAGCACAACACACATCGGTAAGTCTTTGCGTTCATTGTCTGTCCCAACCCTGAAATAGGAACCGCCCAAAGCCAAGCAGAGGTGTGATCTCCCTGCTGTGATTTCCACAATGTTGATTGACGAGGAGATAAAGAGAAGGTGGATTCTGCAGAATCGGTAACCTTTTTGAAATATGTATCTGCCAATTTCTTCATGAGTTTAGGGGCAGCGACCTCACTAGGATTACTCAAAATGTCAGACTCCACCGTTTCATTGAACAGGCTCAACGCATCCTCAAAGGCTCGACCAAGGCCAACAACGCCAGCATGCCATAGAAGCTTTGTTTGTAACCCAGCAGACTGTAACCGCGAAGCAAGAAAAGTATAATGACGAACATCACCTGCGAAATAAACACCAAGCCCGCCATAAGCAAAAGGTAAGGTGGCAAGCCGCCACTGCCAATCGCCAAACCCAGGCCCTGAAGCAGCAACGATACGCTCCAAGGAAGATCGAAGAGCCTCGTCAAATGTGTGTTAAGCCTCCTCAAAATTACTAGGTGGACAAGTACGCAAAGCAAAATAGAGTTTCGAAACTCCGGTACAAGCCCTAAGCAACAACAGCTTGCACTGTTGATCATCAAGCTTAGCAACCCTATCCATAAGCGCAATGATCTTGGTAACCCTTTGCATCACAAGCTCACCTCCAAACCTAGAATTAGAACTAGCCGGACCACCAAGCAACTTTAGGTGGAAAGACACCCACAAGCCTGCTTCGGGGGTCTTCTGTAGGCCAGAAAACTTCAATTTTTTCCACGTTAAGATGTAACCCAAAACGAGGCCCTTCCTCCATAATCAACTGCAGAACCTTCCCCACCACCAACGTGTCACTAATAACAGTGTCGTCATCCAAATACCAAGCCTAAAGACATACATCAAAAGTGTCTCTAATTTTACACACCAGAGGCTGTAAAACCAAAGCAAAAAGCAGAGGACCAAGGGGATCACCCTGTTGTACCCCCTGAGACGACCATAAGGTGTAGTCCCCGTAATACAATTGAGCTGGATTAGAGTAGCAGAATTCAACCCATCGCGAAAGGCCCGGACAACGACGACGAACTTCATGTATCATGACTGCACGATCAACTAGATTGAAGGCATTTTAAAAATCCACCAACAACATAGAAAGACCAACATCGGAACCACGATCCTCAATCAACCGATTCACATCATGAAGAATCGCCTCACCTCCCGAAAAAACCCCAACACCAAATTGGAGACCATCAAAGTAACTTCCTAAAGACTGGCCAACCATAACAGCAATGACCTTCGAAACCAGACGCCGCCAAACAATACCCACAGCTATAGGACGAATACCACCACCAGGCTTGACAAGAGGAGTGAGAGGAGCACTAGCAATATACTCCCCTAGTTCCATAGGACATCTTCCAGCTAGAAAGAGATTAACCACCCCGGAAATAGAGTCAACTAACTCATTTGATACAGCCACAGCAGCACCAGTCAATCAATCCATAAGGTGCTTAGCACGTAAACCGTCCCTACCATAAGATGTGCCACGCGGAAAACTCTTAATCCGATCCAAAACTACAGCAGAAGTAGTAATGAGATGAAGGTGATCCACAGGTATATTAGGCAAGGATGGAGCTGGAGAAGAAGGGTTCTTTAACTGTAAATTTGCAAGAGTGGCCTCATTATAAGGAGCAACGCCTGAAGAAGAAAGAACCCGAACTGCAGCGGTGTAATGACCATCACATATCTTCCTACGACACTGCTTGATATTATGCTCTTCCAAATCAAGGTCCTCATCATCAACGACCGACAAAGTAGGAGAATCCTCTGCCAGAGTTTCCCTCACAAGCTGCAAACTACCACCGGGTGCACTCCAAGAACCAATAGCACGGGAAGTACGCTCTTCCTGATGCCGACGTGTCACTAAAGAACAAGACTCACGACTACTCCACGGGCGAAAGGTTTTGAGGGTGCAAAGAGGTAACACCAACAAAGAGACCCAATTTGAAATGTCCTCAGGCTTAGAGATCACCTTATCAAGAGAACCTTTCAGAACCCAAGAAAACCCCAAACGATACTTGGGAGGGATAGACTTCACAGTGTGAAACCCCTTAGAGAACAAACTATCAAGGAGAGCCACATCAAAACCACCGTTATGATCTCGCAACAAACCAACTACATGTCCATTACGAGCAGAAGAAGAGGGAGCTTGCGGCTTGGTGAAATTATGAAGCACAAAACGAGCAATACCATCGCCTTCATTCGGGGGTGACACGTCCTCACCCAAAACATGACGACACTTAGAACGAAGCGTATGCGTTTTGTAGGAAACCCCACATAACCAAATCCCCATACGCAAAAAAGTAACCTCTGCCTTAGTGTAGATAGCCAAATTAGAAGTAAGAGAATGTCGGGTGATATCTCGCGCACCGATACAACAATGACGATCACTAAGATGCTTGATTAGAGAACTTCTAGTAAGGCCATTACCACTCCCATCTTGACAGCCACTAAGACCCACAAAGGGACAATGAAACTTCGCAACGGCAGCTGACATAGCTGCCCACAACCACCACCAAAATAACCACAGTAAAAACCACCTTAAAACACCAACAAAAACCGATACGAAACAACTAGAAACATCACATAAATTGCATCCAAACTGCACCCAAAACTGCACCCAAAAAGCACCCCAAAACTGCACCCAAAATGCACCCAAAACCGCCTAGCAACTGCAGCAAAAAAGACCACACAAGGACGGAACTTAAACAGCCCGGAAACTACCCTGAAATCGCCTAAAAAATTATTATTATCGCTTTGTAGCGCGATATTTCTTAATGGAGGTCATATCCCCCCTATAATGGTCAATTAAAAATGAGAATCACATTGAAGTATTCAAAATTATAAAGATTTATTTTACTCCTTTTAGCTTGTATAACTCTTTAGTGAACCATGCATCTCATACTGTAAGGATGTCAGCTTTCCTTTTTTCTTCTTCTTTGTTTCCATGTTTGAAGGGAATAATAGTATAACAACATGTTTGAAAGTATAAAGTTACATAAGATTAGACAATAACATGAACTAGAGATTATTAAATATCCATTTGCATATAGTAATATTCACAGATCAAATCGTTGTACTCCTAAGAAGAGTTGCTCTAGTCTTAACCAGATGCCTAGATGAGCATCCTGAATCTTCATCACATTTCTAAACTTCACATTCTGCTAATTTGATCATTTGTGACATACCAACATTAGCTTATTTTTCCGGCTGATCATTAACTCCAAAGTAACATCAATAAAATCAGACTTACTGATGTATGTTGTTGTTTCTATTGAAGCTCTTTAATGGACTACTTTTGAGAGAGGCCATGTAATAGGACAATGTGACTTGAAGACGTCAACTCAACTGTCATTGCTTGCACTCCCTTCAACTTGATCTCAGTGTAATTGACCTCGTCAATCTTATCATTTTCCATTATATTTCCTCTATTTCTTTCAAGCACTTTTCGTTCAACTTCTTGGTTATTTTTCGGGCTTTTAGTACTGAAGAATTTCATTAGTAATGTTCAGCTCATTATTACACCTTTCTTCAGAGCACTGACTGTACGTCTTTGAGATGTTCGTTTGACAGAACCAAGAGTGACATCTCAAACTGTGGCACAAATGTTGAAGAGCTAGCCTTAGAGATCCATCCAACACTTCTTCAACCTAATTCTATTGAGTTGAGTTTGGGATAAGGTTTTCCGATTATATGGGTAAGCTTCAGCAACTCATTGACCCTGACACACTAATGCTTATCAACTCATCCAAATGATCTGCAATGTACAACATACAAAGTTTTGGTTTTATGATTTGCTCTATTTCTTCCTCTATATGTGCCAAAGGTAAAGAAGACAGAAGGAATCTCATCTTAGTTGACAAGCAGCATTGTCTCATTATTTATAAAGGAAAACAGTCAGCTATGTTTCATAATGTCTCCTTTTCAATAACTTGCCAACTAATTAAATTGATTTTTAAGAAGATTATTGTAATTGATCCTTATCATACTGCACATGAATACACCGATAAATTATTCAATAGAATACGATGTTATGTATGCTCAACGGTGTTGGCTTAATCTTAATTGTAACTCCGTTTTCAAATGTTTTTGCTTTGTCTTTGAACACCTAACGAACATACCAGCTAATGTGCTTAGTCAATTCCAGTGAAAATCATGTAGGGGTACTTAATTGTGAATAAAGTATTCCGCTACCAATTCTGTATCATGATCGAAGGGCGTGTTGTACATTACTATAAAATATTCTAGCAACAATGTATAATACTCTTATGCACATTACTATAAAATAAGTTCCTTAAGACATGAAGGGCTCAACAATCTGGCAATGATGCTCGTGCTGGTGTCGCGGTGAAATTGGGTGTTTAAACATGAACAGCAGATCAGATATGAAGTCCTGTTGGAAGGGACAACAGAAGATATTAAATATGACAGCATGATCCTTAAATACAGGCATGGAGGAATGAAGCTAAATGCATGACATTTTTAATTAAGAAGGCGAGTAATTACACACTTAAACTGGTGGTAGCATAAGATTTCATTATCTACAGACATTGATGTTTAATGGTGAGTTTATGTGCAGGTGTAAATGATGTTATTATGCTAATGCATAAGGCCAATTTAATTTTCATTCATGTGTGCAAAGGATTCTCAATTTTAGTTTTTGAGTCGTATATAGTAACTATAAGTAGTATACTTACTCTTTGTGTTCTCCATGTATAATTGACAAGAAAATATTCACAAATGTATGTCCACAAGACCACAATCTATTCTGGTTCTTTTTACTGAAAGTGAATGAAGCTAGCTAGATTGTTAGACTGCTTGTGCATTTCATTATAGAATTAGTAACAAGTCATTTCAAGTTAATTATGGCTTTAGAGCTAGGTTGCACCTTGTTTGATTTATGATAAACATATAACAATGAAAAACGAAAGTAGTATATGGAGTACTTGTGGAATACAAAGAGAAGGGGTATGTTTGGTTATCAAATTTCAGTGGATCAAAATACCCATTCCCACTTAATAATAATATTAATTCTATATAACTATCTTTTTTCATTTTTTAAAGGAATATACCAGCTCCAAACAAGGAAAATAAATTCCATTTGGTCCATTTTTATGTAACAATAAATTTAACTCAACTACCAAATTTCAACTAACCCTACATTTAAATATTTTTTTATCTTTTTATTTAAAAATTTATATTTCCTCCGTTCCATAAGAGCAACTACAATAGTTGTCTAATTCTTTAAATAGCTTATCATGCCACATCATCTTCTTCAGCTATAACAATTCTAGCTATTTGTTGCTCCAATGGTTAAGCTAGTTGTAAATTAATTTTTTTTTAATAATAATATTTATCTAATAAATATTTACCAAGCTAATTAGCTCTACAAAGCTAATTTTTCTTGACAAAGCTAATCAACAAGATGTGGAACAATGGTATAGCTAATAACTTAAGATTTTTAATATTTGCAAGCTAGTCCCTTTCCCCCAACCATTGGAGTTGCTCTAATATTCTGTGCATTTACTATTCATTACGCAACCTAAAGCACATTTTATATCATTAATATCTAGAATTGCATGTTTGTAAAAACTATAGCGATGGAATATTAATAATGTACTCATTAAAATGAATAAAACAAGACCCCACATACATGACTATATTTATTCTTATATATTGATAATTATATCAAAGATTCTCTCTACGTGTAAATAGTGTCAAAAAACCATTTTGCACAGAACATTATTAAACGGACGGAGTAATAACTTTTAATTTGAATTTCCGGTATTGCGCACGCATTGCGTGCGCCACAATCCTAGTCATTATTATTAGAAATAGTTTCTTACCCAAGAAATGTTTGGATTATTGTACTTAACTTATTTGATAATATAAAATCACTTAATTTATTAGAACTAGCTGAGGGAGAGTGATTTTACCTACGCTTATTGCTTCTTAACATCAGAAGTCCTACATCATTTGAGGCACTAAGAAATGTGAATGGTCATTTGTGTACGACTTTCCAGGAAGCAACTCTAAATTTAGGCTTGCTAGAGGAAGATGATCCGCCAAATCTATGCTTGACTGAAGCATGTGAAGTGCAGATGACAGATGCACTGCGCCGTCTTTTTGCAACTCTTCTTGTTTTTGGTCAACCCAGTGATCCTCCTTCTTTATGGTCTAAGTTCTACTCATCTCTGTCAGAAGATTTTAGCCACAAATTTCCTGACAATAAAGTAAAGGTTCGAGTGTTCACTGCAAGTTCAATTGAAAAGCATCTAGAAGCACTAGGTAAGTCGCTTTTAGACTTTGGATTAAATTCCTTGAATGTTGAATCTAATGATGAATTTAGGCGCACGAAGGATATTATTGATGCTTTAGATGCACCTATTCCCCAAGAATGTATTGATTGCCGAAGGCAATTATATTCAGCTCAAAGAGTGCATTTGATGTTGTTATGTAGCATGTCATTGAAAACAAGCCTGGTGCTTTCTTTATAGATGGCCCAGGTGGTACAGGGAAAACATTTCTATACAACGCTCTATATGCTAAAATTCGACTAATGAAAAAGATTGTGTTGCCTACTGCTACATCAGGAATAGCGGCAGCAAACATCCCATCTGGTCGTACTGCTCATTCGAGGTTTAAGATTCCAATTGACTCTGAAGCCTCGCTAGCATGTGTTGTTCCAAAGAAAGGAAGCTTAGCTGCATTGCTTAGGGAAACAACATTAATTATCTAGGACGAAGCTTCGATGGAAAAAAAGGAAAATATTGAATCTTAGATTTGTTGCTTCAAGATTTGTGTGAGAACACGCTCTTGTTTGGTGGGAAGATTGTAGTTTTTGGAGGAGATTTTAAGCAGGTGTTGCCAATTGTGCCACGAAAAACACAACGTGAGGCAGTTGAGACAAGCATTGTAACCTCATACTTATGGTTTAAACTTAAAAAGTTTCAGCTCACTGAAAATATCAGGGCTAGAGAAGATCCTCATTATTCTTCTTCTTTGTTGTCCTAGGGAAATGGGGAGTTGCAGCAAACAGAATTTGGTTATGTTCAGTTGCCGCCAAATATTGTAAGGTCCCTTGCTATCGACAGTGATCTTGTAAAGGAGCTCATAGCAGTCACTTTCCTTGAGATTGGGACGGGTTCTTTTAGCACCGAAATATTCACCGAGTGTGCCATTCTTACTCCAATGAAAGACGATGTAGATTCCATAAATACATTTCTAATTGACCATTTCCCAGGTGATCCTGTTGTGTACAAGAGCTTTGATTGTGTACTGGATGACATGTGTACGGTTTATCCTACAGAATTTATTAATAAGTTGTGCCCTGGGGGAATGAGTCCCCATGTATTGGTTTTGAAGGAAATTTTGACAGGCTAAAATCGTATCACCTAATCAAAAGTAATACCTAAAACCACTAACTAAGATAGATAGGGAAGTAGGGTCGAATCCACAGGGAAACAAGTCTTTCTATTCCTAAATAATTAATATAATCTAGATTATTAAGTAGCCAAATTATTTTTATAGGAATTGAACAAAGGAGAATAATTAAACTAAAACAAATTGAATAAGAGAGGAAATTTATAAATCAAAGACTAGGGTATAGGTTCACCAATAAATAATATTCTAGGGTAAAACATAACAATCAACTATCAATGCATCAATTAATCAAATCATATAGGGCGTTCTCTACGTATTACAATCACATAATTAATCTACCGGTATTAAATCGCATCTCTCGAATCTTGACTTCACCATTTATAAATTAACCTGCCTATTGAAACTAAACCTAAACATCAATTCCCATTCCGAATCTCGAATCAATATTACATAACTCATACAATTAAACCAGGTTTAATCTAATTGCATAGCATTAAATCAAACAATAGGAAATCAACTAAAGCATTGACAATCAACAATAGTAAATTACCCCTTCATATTATTTATGGATCCCCATAACCCTAAAAATAAAACTACTCACACATATTTAAATCTAAACTAAGCAAAGTAAATAAACAAGACATAATTAATCAAAGCAATTAATTACTGAAAATAAAAAGGGGAAGAAATTGTGACCAAAATTAAATGGAAATAATGAATTGCATAAACTAAAAATGTAGAGAGATAAAAAAACAAGACTATATACCAAAAGCTTAAAACTAAAATCTGAAAATTATTTAATTAATAAAAGACGTCCTCCAAATCTCGCTTAGAAAAGCGTATTTATACTTAAGCTCAAAATTCCAAATTAAAATCGTCGAAACACCTCTTAGAAACACGTGCCCAGTCGGGCAAAGAATCGCCCGGTCAGGCGCCTCTTTTTGCTGGAGACTTCTTCGCTCGCGCCCGGTCGGGCGCGCCTTAGGGCGAGGAGTGCTTTTCTTCCTTCAACCCCGCCTGGCCTAGCGCACCTCAGGGCGAGGGCCTACCCAGTCAGGCGAGCTCTTCGGGAAACCATGGATCTTCGATTGGGCCATAAACTTGGCCCAATTCGGATTTCCTCTTTGGGGCCTTGAAACACGGTCCATTGCCTCGAACTCTTCTTCTTTGCCGAGCCCTTAATCACCAATTTGATAACTCTAACCGGTCTTGGGCTACGGAAAATGGTCATATGAATGGGCTCCTGCTCTGATGCTTCTAGCGGCTCCAATAAGTCCGGGAAAATGCTCCAAATCCGCAATTTCCTATAAAACAATACCAAATCTACGAAAACACTAGAAAACGCAAATTAGTAACAAAAGTGGCTCCAAAGAACCAAAAATACTCCTAAATATGACCAAGGGATGGGGGTAAATCACTATATAAAATGAACATATCAAACTCCCCCATGCCAAACCTTTGCTTGTCCCAAAGCAAAGAGCTCATCAATGAACAAATAAAACATACTTCACCCCAAAAATCAATTAAAACCAAGCATAACCAATTCAAGGCAAATCCAACAGATATGCATCAAAGTCAACCTATCAAATCCATCCAACTACTCATCCTCCCTAACAATTGTCAAGTAGAGAAAACCACAAGTGTATATGGATTTCAAGACTAGTGCTCACACACTCTTCACTCTTTATGTGGCGGATATAAGATGTATCCGATCGCTCTCCATCCAACCCCTTTAATGTGAACAATGCTCTCCCAAACTCACAACACTCGTGTGTTTAAGAAAACAAGCACTCAACCTAGTAGTCGACTTGAAATATATCAAATCATTCTTTGCATTGATAAACAACTACTTTCACGTCCATACAACTCTATGCACAAAGGTCGGAAGGTCTCCAAAGCTTATAATGTAAGGCTTAGAAAAAAGGGGTAGGAAATATTTGGGAAAATGTGAGAGTAAAGCCATGCTTTAGGGAGCCAAATCCTAATAAAACCAAGGTCAAAAATAAATAATGACCTATCATCTCCAACACAACTCATCTCAACTTCAAAAAAAATCACTAAACATCCAATTACATCAAAATTTCCTAACACTTACAATCTCGCTCATAAAAATTTAATAATTAAGAACTTGAGCGAATCAAACAAACTTTTGAATTATTTAACACTTGATTTTTTTTCTTTCTCATGAAACTTAATTTTTCTCTTTTGAACAATCTTCACTAAGAACATTTGAACGTTAAACAATTATTTTCTTTCTCTTTGCTCTTTTTTTTCTTGAACTTCTTTTTTTTCATATCATCATGCTTTATTTTTTTCTCAAGAAAATTCAACTTTCAAAATCATCAAAAACAAATTACAATAAAGAACAACACAACTTCTCAACCACCCAAATTGTGTAAATGATAAGCACATTACAAACTCCCTTACCTCACTCACTAATAGTTCCCCCAAGCCAAGCTTGGGACTAGTAACCAATGGGGCAAAATCAGATTTGTAATGTGGCTAATAAGCAATAAAAAGTCAAGGCAACAACATGGATAACAAGAAGGGAACAAATGTATCTAATATCATTTGAAGGCTACCTAAGAGAACAATGCCTTCGTCCTCCTGAATGTGCATAATAATGAATCATACAAACATTACTCAAAGTTAAAAACCAATACTCAACTTCATTGACATACCAGGAACTAACACACAATTCCTAACCAAATCAACTAGCCAAGCACCAAATCCACAAATAGTTAGACAAAATTGACTCATGTTAGGGCATCCAAGCAATCAAACATCAAATCATGGCTAACCTATCCACAATACTAATCATCATATACCAAGAATCAAAACAATTTTCATGTATAGAGCACAGGGAAGCATGATTTATCATTCATTGGATCGTATTTTTGTTTTTTTTGTGTGAAAGCATTAGATATAACCTAAGAAAGAAAACAAACTAAACTAAGCACACCAAAGAAAATAAAAAGAAAAGGGAAAGAAAGAGTACCTATATATACAAGAAATCCCCCCCAAACTAAATCAGACAATGTCCTCATTGGCTTAAAGGGAAGCTAGTAATCCAAGAGACTACCCCTCATCATCAAAATCGTAGCCACCACCATCCCAATTATCGCAATGCATCAATTTGGTACAATTTTGAGCAAAAAAGAAACAAAGTGTTAGTAGGAAAAGAGGCAAAAACGAGTCAAGTTCACTATTTTGATCATAACTTTTTTTATACAAATGATTATGCAGTTATTATAATTGCATTGGAAAGTAGACTTGAAGAGCTTTCCAACGATAAGTCACACGCGAAATTTCGTTAAGAAACGCAAAAGTTATGGCATTTTGAAGTTGCCTAGTTTTGTTGTCGCGCTCTCGCGCCCGTCCGGGCAGGCTTAAGACCGGGCCCGCCTCCAAGGTACGAACAGGTGGTTTCTTGCTACTCGCTGCTCGAGATTTCACTTTTTCCTTGAATTTCTTCGTATTTTTGCTTGATTGAGCAAATGCCACTCGATCAGATGGGACTTTCACTACGGGCTCGATTTTCGCAACTTGCTCATTTTTCTCCACTTGTTCATCTTCAAACCCAAGCCCAACACAATTTAGAGCTCTTTCTATAGCCTCTGTTTCAGGGTTTTTTAAGTGTCCTATGGGAGAGTTACAATTCCAAGACTGGTCTCTGGGCGCCTGTACCTGCAAAACAACGGAGACTTCGGTTGGGTGGAGTTTCGCTTCCGACGATCAAGTTAGAACGTGTTCGGAAGATGTAAAGTGCGGAAGAGTAAAGTGTCTCTCGGATTCCAAGAGAGTATCTACAATTAATGATTGCTCAGTTTTTTGTGTATATTTCTAAATTTGTGTTTCCGAGGGGAAAACATCTCCCTTTCATAGGGTCTCGAAGTGTGTGCCCAGTCCTAGGTTACGGAAACCTAGGATGGACTAGGCTTCCTCGGATTTTGGGCCATTAAAGGCCACCTTTCCTGGTTGGCAATCCGTCTGCCACATGTCGTGCTCTGATTGGTCCACTTTGGACTCTTCACTGAATGACACGTGGCGGACTCTGGTTGGTTCACATGGATGACACGTGGCAGGGTTTCATTGGTCCACGTGGCGGGATGAAATGCCCTAATCATTTTCCCCTCACAGGGGTGATGTGGCTTGCCACTTTGCGCCTGTGACAAGTGTCACATGCTGATTGGCCAGCGGCTTTTACCGTTTTTTTTTTTCAAGGTGACCCTTGAAATTAATCCTTTATAAAAGGGGCATGTCCCAATCATTTTTAAGACATTCCAAAGATTTTTAGACGGCTTTTTTGACTTAAGAACTTGTCATTTTCCGAGAAAAATAACTGCCGCCTGCTCTTACAGTCGCCCAAGACTCTTTCAAGCGCCTTCGACTTTACAGACTAAAGGTAACCACCTGTTTTTCTCTCGTACTTTTTATTTGTTTCTTTTTCTTTTTGAAAATGGTATCCCAAAAGCACAGGGCACGACCTAGGTTAGTGATCAGCCGGTCACCGGGGACGGCTGAATCTTGAACTAGGAGTGCCGACTGCCCTTTGCTGTACCACACTTTGCGAACTTCCCCAAGTCCGACTATCTATGTTTATGTGCAGGACACCATGGCCAGAATCAAACAAACAACCAGGGTGGTGAACTCGGACGACTCCTCCTTTAGGGCGCCTGTTAGTGAACTGTCTAATGTGCCGCCTGGCACCCCAAGCACCCCAAATGATTCAATATTAGAAGAATCAGGGGAGGAAGTGCAAAGTGAAGTCTCAGGCTCTATTGAACAGGCCCCTCAGACGGACGATAGGTCCGACTGCTCTGAAAGTGAATCTGAGACGAGTACCTCTGGAAGGCCATCTTATGCCTCGGAGGAATTGCACTCTCAACTGGAAACAGCGAGAGAATCCCTTTCTGTGGAAAAAGGTGAATATTGGGCTGAGTCGGCTGCTAGCCGCCAAGGGTCGTATGCCGCCTATTACTGTCATGTTCCCGCAGGCA